CGGCCAGACTAGAAGAGAGGATGTTCAAAAGTCACTCTCCTAGCCGACCCACTTGACTTTTATTCATGAAAAAACTTGAGTTACAAGAAAGACAATTTTGTCCCTCATAGAAGATGGGACACATAAACTCAGATACAATAGACATTTCACTTACAATAAGATACACTAGAATGACCAAAATACCCCTGACTCGAGCATTCTAACAGGATGGATTGGTTTGACCTTTAAAGGTTCTATAGGGATGGGCAATTTTCCATAGGGATGTCCATGAATGACAATTATTATAGGCAGATGTTTGAAAGAAGAAACAAGAGAATGTAAAAATTATTATAGGTGGATGTTTGAAACAAGAAATATCAATGACAAACCTCTTTTTATGGACTTCCCATAGGTGATCACCTAGACAATAGAATTTTAGAAAGAACTAAGTTGTAGGTTACTTTCCTAATTATATATTCCAATTAGCATTCATATAAATTGGAAAAAGTGCTCCTTACTAATAACATTAATTTTCCTCTACATGGTAAATCATCAGATATAAAAGATGGTAGCATTTTAAATCTATTAACTTCAATATGTCAAATACAGCACTATAAGGTGATAAGTACTTAATATAGCAATTGCATGTAAAAAATTATTAGCAACTAGAGAAAGCTACAAGCATATATACTAACAGATAAGTTAAAAGAGAAACATAACAAAAAGGGGAAAAGATGGGGCTGAGCCCTCTCTTCCATTTAATATAAGAGAGAGTAACTTTCTTTTTTTTTTTTTTTTTCGGGGGGGGGGGGGGGGGGGGGGGAGGGGGGCACATACACTGGTTGGTAACAATAAACCCTATTGATTTTGAAAAAGGATTAAATGTATCTTTACAAGATTGATTATGTGCCAAGCACCCCCAGGCCCTAGAGAGATAGAGGGAGAGGGAGTAACCCGCACATACACTGATTGGTAACAGAGAGAGAGAGAGGTTGGCAAGTTTTCTCTCTGCTCTTTTCATCTTCCCTTTTTTTAACAAAGTTTAAATGGAGATAACAAACTCAAAAGATGTTATAACTAGGCATTTTGTTGGGCTGAATGAGATTACACTTGTTACAAGGTAGGGTATGCAAATGAAAGCTGGGCATGTAAATGGAGACACACACTCCATACTCGCTCCTAAAGTGCAACACTTCTCAATTTTGTTCCTCCTGTTCCAGCTCCCACTCAACAGTTAGGTTACTTAGATTTTAAATATATACACTCCTGACTGATGGGCTAGCTAAAAAGGGTTTTTGGAGCACTCTTGATTTGCATCCTTGTAATAATGACTCTTTTTCAGTTTGATTTCTAATATGTATCTGGTTTGTCAACTTGGCAACCATTGGTTATGAGATGTACTGTCTTTTTCAGTTTAATGAAAATTCTTTTTATCCTTCAAAAAAAAGGGGTAAATCAGACAAACTTGTTTTAGGGAGTAATATATCAAAGGTGGAGACTGTTCATGTATAGTGACTGTAAGAAGACTAACTGTGGCTAGCCATCGTAATGGATGTAAAGAAAATCATGCTGTAAATATTTACTTGATTATTGACCTATCAAAGAAATGTTTTATCAATTACTAATAAAATTAATTATGACTGATCATACGCATACACTCATGGCATTGTTTCTTGGGGTAACAAGAGGATTGTTACATCTTCCTGCCATCATAGTTCCTTATTTATTTGCTTCGTGATTCCTTTTTTTCCTAATACTGAAGACTTGATCTTTCTATAATGAGAAATAGGTGACTCCATTTGCTATGTTGTCACGCTCTGCAGCTGGAATAAGAGGATCAACATTGGTAAGGGCAATCTTGTTTTATTTCTTCTCAGCTATCAAGCATGCTTTGTCAGGTCTTATTCCATGTGAAGGACTTTAATGCCCAATCCAGTTCTGGATAAGCCATATACTCAGTTTCTTTGCCGAAGTTGCCCCATACTTCCATCTTATATTTGTAGTTATGAGTTTAAGGGGGTCAATTTTGAATTGGTATGAATTTTACCTGATACATCATAAATTTGAAATTTCATCAGATCTAAATCCAATCTGTTTAGGATTAGGCATACATATCTTACATGGATCCAATTAGAGAATCTAAAAGAAATGAAATGGTCCAAACGAAATTGATGGTGGAACAGAAAAGGTACAAAATATAATCAAAGCAAAACAAGCATGTCACAAAGATTGGAAAAAAAAACTAAAAATGTAGAAAACTTGTAAGAATATAAAACACAAAAAGAAGTTAAAACTCAGCACAGAAAGGGATAAATGCAATTTATAAACTTACTAAGATGAAAGAAAGAAAAGAAAAGGAAAGGCAGAGATCTAAATCATGTGAAATGCATCAAAGTGGAAGGCCAAAGAATCTTGATAAAAAGATAAGGAAATCAAGGAAAGATGGACAATCTATTTTGAAAAATTACTAAATGAAAAACTTGTATGCTAGTGGAGGAGGGTACCTTCATTAAATTAGAGTTTCTGAAGTGGGAGAGATAGACCTATTATGGCTAACTAAACTATTTAAAACAGAGAACATGCCAAATGAATAGAGAAAGAGCTCTTTTGGGGGGGGGGGGGTGAGAGAGAGAGGCCACGACATGAAACAAGTATATTAGAAAACCAATTCACTTCTATGCCTGGAAGATATACCATGGAAACCATCTTTCCGTAGAAACAATTGATAAAAAAGTTCAGAGAAAGGGAGATCTTCATGTAGTATTCATTGATCTAAAAAGCATATAATATGGTGGGTTCTGGAAAATGAGAGTTATTTATAGAGATAATATGGTGGATTTTAGAAAGTGAGTACCAAATTGGTATGCAGACCTAATCAAGGACATATGTGGGTACAACAACCAAAGCTCAACATTAGAATTTCCATTTACAATGATACTTCACCAAAGCTCAACATTGAGCCCTTGGTTATTTGCATTAGTCACGGATGAATTGACTAAGCATATTTAGGAGGCCCTTTGGTATATGTTTTTTTTTTTATGGCATGGTATTAAGTGGTGAAACTATAGAAGGATTAAATACAAAATTAGACTCAGAGACAAATACCTTAGGCACAATAGGTTTTAAAATAAGGCCAATATAGAATATATGTAATGTAAGTTTAATAATAAGAATAATAATAATTAAAATCAGGGTAAACTTACAACTGGAAACCAAGAGATATCTCAACATGACCTTTCCGTTACCTTTATTCAATAATCCATGATAAAGGAGAGATAAATTAAGAAGCTGCCCATTTATCAAAAAAAAATTAAGAAGCTGCCCGCAGAATCAAATCAAAATGGGAAAGATAGAGGCGTGCATCCAGAATCTTATGCTATGAGGGTGGATCTTGGTGCAACAGTTGGGTTGATCCATTGCGACCTGAGTGACCAGGGTTCAAATCTTTTGGAACAGCCTCTCTGTATGTGTGGGGGTAAGGCTGCGTACATCTGCCCCTTCCCAGACCCTGCCATTGGTGGGAGCCTTGTGCACTGGGCTGCCCTTATCCAGAATCTTATGTAGTCAAGAAACATGTCCAACTGTAGTAGAAATGGAAATTTTAAGATGGATGAGTGGGAAAAGTAGAAGGGATATAATTAGAAATGCAAACATAGGAGTGGCTCAATAGGTGATAAAATGAGGGAAAGTAAATTAAAATGGTTTTCACTGTTACAAAAAAAAAAAAAGTGATGGTTTTGTCACATGGAGATCTGACTATTTACAGCACCAATAGAAAGAAGTTACCTATTACAAATTGAAGGGTTAGAAGACCTAGGGGCAAATCAAGGCTTGGATTCTTATGATGAAGTTAGATGATTAGATGATATAACCAAATCAATGTAATATTAATTGGTTAGGCATTAAAGTATGGACAATTTTGGGCAGTTTTCATAATGGTCCAAAAGAATTTTTCAGATCATTCTCATCTTTGTGATTACAACATGATGAAATATGATCTCTTGATACTGGTAAATTTCTACTCTTAATTTGATCTCTTTTTTACTGATTTAGATAATCAACATGCCCGGTAATCCTAATGCGGCAACTGAATGCATAGAGGCCTTGATGCCTGCCCTTAAGCATGCGATGAAGCAGTTAAAAGGAGATAAAAGAGAGAAACATCCTCGTCATGTTCCCCATGCACAGGCAGAGCCTGTGGATACTTGGGAAAGAAGTTATATGTTAGCTTCTGGGAGTTCTGAATCTAATTGCTGTTGTTCACATTGAAGCTCTTGGAATTGGAGGAATTGAAACAAGGCATTCTTCATCAAACCTGACAACTCTTGGGGAATGAACTATTTGGGAGAGTCATTGGATACTTGGAAAAGAAGTCATCTTCTGGGAGTTCCTGAGTCAAAGTTGTTCTTGTTTAGATCGAAGTTTTTGAAATTAAAATGAAGTATTCTCCATCAAACATGGCAATCCTTGGGGAATGAACCAAGTGAAGAAGCTACTTTATACAAAGGCATATGCAAATCCCCACCTATTACTAATAAAGGTCGTTAGAACGAACCCTGATACACGTTTTTTTCGGAAAACATCAACTACTGTTCAGATTTGAACTCTAAAACAAGGGAAATCGAATTTGGTCCCCACAAGACCATCTTCACACTGTCGTCGTAGTCCCTTGCAGCCGTGCATTGGGAATATCTCTCCATAAAAAACGGCTATAAAAGCCTGTGAGGACCAAATCTGAACTCAAAACAAAATAGTTTACGGAGCTTGCATGGATTGAGACAATGGCTTAAATATCATAATAAATAGTTTACATCTGCCATGTTTTCTCTCACTTGGCAGAAAGAAAGCAGTGTTGTTGTACTTACTGGCTCATGAGTCATGTCTACCTATTTGGTTTTATCAGATGTTAGTTGTATATACAGTGAGACTTTCTTTATGTAATGAAGTTGATTGATGTTGTAATAATAAATTAATAACATTCCTTGTATTTAAAGAGTAAGGCTGCCAACCATTCATGGGAGTGACTGAAGACGGCGGAATATAATTAGATGATGATATGGACTGTTTATAGACGCCGGATGACTAAAAACTCTGTTCGCATAGCATCCACCCATACATTGAAAACATCTCCTATGTATGTATGTTAAATTCATGAAGAAATGTTTCCATTGGATTACATGATTTCAGAGTTTTTACTTGGAAAGAATCCCAGGCATCCTTTTTGGAGATCGGGATGAAACAACCCCTGCCATGCGAAGCAAATTTTTGTTTATAGGAAGCATGGTTTGAAATTCTTTTGGCATGTATTCTCTCCAAGAGAGAAATTCTGAATTTTTTATTATTTAAATGGCATATGCATCAACGCTGGCTGTTGTTAGGGGTGCTCACGAAAACTGAAAAGCGAAAAATCCAACTAAAATCCAAAAAATCCAATTAACCAAATCAACTGGCATATGTATATATATAKAGAGAGAGAGATCACATCAAAAGCCCTCTCTTGCTCCATTACCCTAATCCTGACTTTTCCTAAACTCTCTCCTTCCCTTATCCCTTTGTCAGTTCACTCGTTCATTCTCTCCTATTATTCCTATCACCCTTATTAGCATTTTCATTAAGCTACATCAGCAAGGTTTTCCTTGCTCCTATTAGTTCCCACTTCCCAATTACTTATAAATATCTCTAAAATCTCTCTCCCTCCCCTAAAACCTCTCAAAAATTATAGTTATTAATTAATCTATGTTTTCTTTTAAAACACTTTTTTTAAATATCTCCTCAATCACTTTGTCAAGGTTTTAAAAGGTTAAAGGTGTAGTTAAGGCGTAATGGCACAAAAAGGTGAGGCGTAAGCCTCAAAGCTTAAAACTAAAATTAATTAAAGTTTATAGATTGATAAAAATAACATATAATATATCAAGTAGAATGATATAAGGTATAAATACCCATAAAATAAAAGTTTATAAGCAACAAGTTTCGGCATTTAAGCATTAAATAAAAATAATAACTAACCAACTAAGAACTACAAACATTTTACATTTCATGTTTCAAGATGCAAATTTCTCAAATAATTCAAATAACCAATTTAGAATTAAAGAAACATATGAAAAATCATCCACATAATTGGATATTAAATTATGATCATTCAATAATTTAGAAAAAATAAAATGACTTAGTTAATTTGATCTATGCAAAAAAAAAATATCAATAAAAAGAAACTAAAAACTTGATTGGTCCTTTTTGCATTGAACTCTCCTAAAACACTAAGAGAAACTAATAGAACTTGATTTTCCCTATTGTTTTTTCATTTTTACTCTTTTTATTTATTTGGCCTATAATTCTTAAAGTGCCTCTTTCATATATTTTGAACTATAAAAATGCATAATTTTTTTCATTAAATTGCTAAATTATCATTGATACTTGAGGCTTATGCCTTTTTACACCTCATGCCTTTGAGATTTGAGACGCCTCATTTTGACAAAGACTTAAGCCTCATATCAAAGTTGTGAGGCTTAAGCCTTGAGGCAAAATCTCTACACCTCGCCTCAAGGCATAAGCCTCACGCCTTCAATATCTATGTTATTGAAAAGCTAATAGAAAGGAGGTATTTGCATTTTTTTAAAAACTATATGAGAGATTTTTGTTAGGATCAAAACACAATGGTGGTTTATAGAATTGTTATAAGAGGAGGTTTTTCTAAACAACAAACCAATAAACTTTAGAAAAAATAATAAAAAATAGCATTAAGATACAAAAAAAAAGAATACAAATTTATGTACAGCATAAGAATTTGGCGACTCTCACTGAAGCGCAACTTGGATTGTGATTGGATAAATTAAATATAATCCAAAAAATAATGTTTTAATTGGACTTAGATGGATACTAAACTGGAAATGTCATAGAGCTCCTTCAAATTTTCTTAATAAAGCCTATGCATGACATGGGTCCCAAGTAATTTTAATCTTTATGGTTAAATATTTAAAGTACTGTTATGATTTAGCAAATAGACAAACTTACCCTATTGTTTGAAAAATTATTTAAGATACCCTTTAGTTTTCTGGCAATGGACAAAGTCCTCTCCTACTGTTAGCATGTCATTACAATCCATTCACATGTAATGTCATGTAACTTATATAATTTTTTTAATTCCAAAACTACCCTTTTGTGGTTGTTTTTGCCCTTCATTGTTCTTTAAGTTTTCAAAATAAAACCCAACGGTCAGAAACATTAGCGATCGATTAACATTAGTGCCTACTTAACATTTTACCCCATATAATCTGGGATTTTTAGACTTTCACCGAAGAACACCCTTTTTTAATTTAGAAGATGGAAATTAATCGATAAAAAAGGCTGCATTGAAGGTTTTGAATGGTTGAGTTCCTATTTACCCTTTATCTTCTATGCTTTCTGGGCAGGGAAACAGGTGTGGCTTTGGGTTTCTATGGAAACAAATTGGGGTAATTTTTCCTTTCATTTTTTATTCTTTGTAAAACAAGATTGAGAGTGTTCGAAGTCTATCAAATGTATAGATTGGTGGGTATAGATCTTTTCTATTCTTTTCAGTTCAGTTCCTCCGCTTTATCAAGAAAATGCCAAAAGCTAAGAAATCACGTTCAGAAATATTTAGGTTATTGGTCACTGTCATATCTTATTTTTCCTTCGAAATTAGACATTTGGAACAATGTTTTGTTTTGACATGCAACGTTCATTCTTCAAATCAATTTTCCCAATTAATCTTTAATCTTAATATAATGTATGCCATTTCAATGGAGGTAATAATATGACCCAGATCACCCAATCAAACATGGACACACCAACGCTTTGTTGAAATTCACAATCTTTCTATGCAATGGTCGGATTCATGAATTCTCTTATTCGCTCTTCCTTTTAGTCCACCCAATTAATTGATTCGCCTGAAAGCCTTTCGTAGCTTCCTATATGCCCAGCATTTCTGTTCAAAAGCAAAAGTTTTTTTTGTCATTTTCTCCCTAAACCATTTTTGTTGCTTTGGTTATGCAGCTCTATGTATTTCTTAAAGTTGCCATTTTTATCGCTCTGAGATCTATAAAAAATATGGGCTGTGAGTTACTCAAGGAAGGTGGGCATTCGAGCTGAGTAGTTAGGGAACGGTGCTGGTTCAAGCAGAGTAACAGTATGAAAATCAAGAGTTGGATCCTTTACCTTAAGCGGGAGATATCTTTTTATAGCCGAAGATCCATGTCCTAATCGGATGAGGCTTCCGAGGTTGTTGGGATGAGGTTAACCGTTGAGATCTTCGAGATAAGACATAATCCCCAACGGAGTTGTCCCCATCCATACGATGATCTCCTGTCTTGGTCGTGCTTATCCGCATGACGTGGTGCCGAAGTGGCTAAAGAGATAAGATGGGTCATGGTGCTGACGTGGCCGAGGAGATAAGGTCGGCCACAGAGGTGGCGTGGCGCTGACATGGCCGAGGAGATAAGATGGCCATGTAGGCAACATGTGACATCTGGAGCCAGTTCAACCAAAACCGAACACCACTCCCCCAGTTCCGAAGTCGAGGAGTGAAGTGCTCGATTGCGATGTGGTGTGGAAGAGTTCTTTGGTTCTCAGCTGAGGAACATGAAGTTGAAGTTTGGTTGAGCATTTAGTTTGGACCGAGTGGCTCAATGTTAGGTTGGTTTTTCTGGACGGATCGGACAGTTCAACGCAGATCCCATCTCCGAAATGGGTTGTTAGAAGCGTTGTTTCACTTCCAAAGGCTCTACACGTGCGAAGGGCAGTAACACCGATTGGCCCTCCCGTGCTTGTTAGAGCGGTGCTTGATCCACGCCGTTGATTTTGCCTTGATTTGGATTGTTGGGAGTTCTATAAATAAGGGAGAAGAGCATTTCCCCTTCATCATTTGTGAAAGAAGTCACTTGTAGAGCTCGGCGAAGAGTAGTCTTCGATGCTCGGTGTTTGCTTCAGTTCCGCAGCCTTAACCTACAAGTAAGATGTCTTCCTCGTCTTTCCGTTCTTCTTCCTCTTTCTTCTGCTTTTACTTTCTCTTCCTCCGATTTCAATGCTTCCTATTTTGAGTCCAAGTCAGGGTCTTTCACCAAGGCTGTCGCGCTCGATGTTACTGAGGCTAATGGCCAAGGCCAATGCCGAAGACTTTGAGGCATTTGACCCTGAGTGGGCCACTGAATGGGGGGTCGAGACCGAGTCGTCAACCAGGGAGGAAGCTGCCCTCCCGCCACGGGCTAGTCGTCAATTTGGGACCACTCCATATTGTCTGACCCCTGGGGATATGGCTTGGATCCGGGCTTTGTTCGAGGACCGGTGAAAGGCCCATAGATGCTCGATCGGGCGAGCTCTGTATGTATGAGAAGAGTCTAGAGTTCGGGCTGAGGTTCCCATTGCACGAGGGGGTAGTCGAGGTGTTTGAGTGGTACCGGGTACTACCGGTGCAGCTAATGCCCAACTTGATTAGGTTCCTGATCGGTCTCATGTCCTACTACTTCATCCACAATGTCGAGCTTACCCTAGGGATGGTCACATACTTCCTTTAACTAAAGCATCACTAGCAAGGTTACGGCAACGCATCAAGGTGCTGGCTGGGACCCCACCCTCGATGAAGCACTTGAAGGAAAAGTTCTTCTTTGTGCGTTGTCCTGGAGGCTCACCTCTGTCGGTTGGGCTCTAGAAGCTGAGGACTGAGGTGAAGCAATCTGAGTTGGCCCGGCTTTCCAAGGAGGAGAGGGCATAAATAGGCATGACCGAAGAGATCGACGTGATGCAATACACGTCCTTCTCGATGTTGATCCGCATTGGGCTGATGAACGAGGAGGTTGGTCGGTTTTGTCGCTTTGGTTCTTCGTTTGCCTATCTCTTCTTTTCTGAGCTTATGACTTGTAAATTAGGCATTTGTTTTGGTGCAGGTGTTGGGATGGCGAGCCAAGAAGAGATTCTTCGATGGATGAGGGCTAGGCAAGACAAGCACAACCGAGGTGCTCAAGGGGCCCAGCC